ACATGAAAACAAAGTACACGAAATTTTTGAGATATTTATTTTAGTTTCTATAATCGTAGATATAGATTTTTCTATATTTTTCGATTTTTCTCTGTTTTCTTTTTTTTCTTTTTTCTTTTTTTTTTTCATGGAGAGAAAGATCGTTCGGAAACACAAGATCGCAGGAAAGATTGATCATGCGCGTACTTCCGTCATCTTGATCGCAGAGTCACGGCGACACGCAAAAGCGAATCGAAAAATAAATAGGAGACACGTGAGAGATTAGCGAGTATTCCGTTATTTTCGTATAGATACACCCGCAAATATAAGTAAATATATTTACGCGCTTGTTAGCTACAACGAGACCAAAAGACAATTAACTAACCCCCTTCCTTCTCCCCTCCACATATGATCGTTTTTCTTTCTTTATTTCTTTTTTTTTTTCTTCTTTTACTCCGCATAGTCCTCCATATTCATGATTTGTTTTCCCATTACACGCGGGTCCGTAACATTTATTTCAGGTTCACTGGATTATCCAGCTTCCTCTCTTTTTATTTTTCCTTCTTCTTTTCTTCTTCTTCTTCTTCAATTGTTATTTCTTTTTTATATTTTTGTTTCTTAAATATTTTTTGGTTAATTTCGCACGATATAAAATCCTAGTTTAGTATGGCCGGTAATTTGTTCCATCTTTACTCTTTCTCCTTTTTCTTTCTCTTCCTCATTTTCTTTTTCTTTTCTTTAAATTCCCTAACATTACTTCCCTCCCTTTTCTTTCCTTATTATTTATCGTTTTTATTATCATTATTATTTTTCTTGTTGTTATTATTAATATTATTATTAATATTATTATTATTATTATTTAATATTAATATTATTATTATTGTTATTATAAATATTATTATATTATTATAATATTATTATAATATCACTTATCATATTTATATATATATATATATATATATTATTATATATATATATGTGTGTGTGTTAATTTTATATTTATCCGCAATTAATAAATAGATAACCGTAAGCTTACATCTAACTTTCCAATTTATAAGTAGTGGTGTGATATAATACTAAATTAGATTCGTCTCGACTATCTAATTACATAAGAACCCTTATTACGTTGAAACCCTTTACGCACTCCTTGCACATCATTGTAGTTCATGATCCTGCGAATTCGCTTTGTAAAGCCTGAGTTTGAAATTCTGATTACGATGTTTTATGCGTTTTTAAAAATGTTTTTGATAATGAAATAACGCTGAGTAGGTTTTTATGGAAGGAGTGAGGGGGTGAGGATGGTAAAGATGTTAGGGAACGGGGGGATAAGATAAATGAAAAACGTCTTTTAACAATTCGTTCTTAGAGACTTAAATCTCATTCGATAATGCGCAGATATTTTTTTTCATTCTAACGAAATCTTATAAAAAATTCATTTTCCGTGTCGCTCGATTAATCTCAATCCTGTTTCTTTACTTTTCTTTTCTTTCCTTTTCTTTTTTTTTTTTCTATTACGAAGAAGAACGCTAGAGTTATTCCGATTGGTTGAACGACACGAAGAAGAAAAGTCACGTGACTAAGGCAAACAGGTAAACAGGCAAACGAAATACAAACGATTCGAAGGATTTTCTCTTTGCTATTCTTGTTTCTTGTTTTTTGTTTGTTTCTTCTAGTATGGCCATCGTTCTCGTCTCAAGAGACATACATACATACATACATACATACACACATACATACGTACATACATACATTCATACATACATACATACATACATACATACATACATACATACATACATATATACATACATACATATATACATACATACATACATACATACATACATACATACATACATACATACATACATACATACATACATACATACATACATACATCATACATACATACATACATACATACATACATACATACATACATACATACATACATACATACATACATACATACATACATACATACATACATACATACATACATACATACATACATACATACATACATACATACATACATACATATATACATACATACATACATACTTATGTACGTACATACGTACAGACATACATGCATATATACATTTTCTATTCATACGTACATTCATTTATAAAATAATCGAAACGAAAAGAAAAACAAAAGGGGATCGATGATGATCACTCGTATTTCAGCTAATCGCATAAAACAGTCGTTCGAAAAAACGCCGTAACTCTTTTCGGCTACTTATATATAGGAACGAGTTGCCGTGTGCGATATAATAATAATAATAATATATTTATGTCTAAAGCGAAAGTTAGTTATCGGTACCAACTGCTTCGACATTATAATTTTGATTCGAACAAACATTTACACATCGAATCTTCGCGCCTAAGTTTCTAACTAATCGTAGACGATCTTTTTTCAAAAGCCTAAAAGGGGCGTAATCGCCGTCGTCGTTATTTTACTTTTGTTATTCTTTTTGTTTTTCGTGTGTGTGTATGTATGTGTTCTTTTTTTTCTTTCTTTTTCTTTTTTTTTTTTTTTCAAATCACATACGAAATTTCCGATCGACCAATAATATCGTCGAATACGAAATACGTACGTGCGTTTCTTCGCGTTATTGTAAAATCACAAATTTACCACGAATAACAACACCGGTGGAAAAGTAATGCGACACATTATTGTTACACGATATTTATTAACGAATTTCTTGCAACCTTTTGTTTCATTTAGGTTCCTTTCCTTTTATCTTCGTTTCTTTTCTTTTCTTTTTTTTCTTCTTCTTGTCTCACGCTATAAAATAATGTCAGTAATCACGTTCGTCTTAAAAAGCTTTTATCCTTCTTTTATCCTTTTTTATTTCTCGTCTTCTTGCTCCTTTCGTTCTTATATTTCTTCCTTCCTTCCTTCTTTCCTTTCTCTCTTTCTTTCTTTTTTCTTTTTTCCTTTGCTTTTTTTCTTCTTCTCTCTTTTTTTTATTTTTTTTTGTTCTAATCATCTCTCCCACACTTTTATTTTTAAGTCGTTCCATTAGTAAGAAGCCGAGATAATTTGGAGATATGTCTGTGTGAAAAAAATTGTTTACATATAATAATGATAATAATATCTGTTCTTATAGCTTATCCCATCCGCTACATATAGAAATATTAGATGCTTATTCATCCCCCGTATCGTCTATATATGAATCGTTATCATAACATTTCTTCTCGTTCTCTCTCTTTCTCTTTCTTTCTTTTTTGTTTTATTTTTTTTTTCTTTTTCTAATACTTCATTCACTATGAGAGGCAGATGAGAAGTCGTACACGTCGCATCAACTACATACTTATTTATGTATTTAAATATTAGTCTTCTGTAATGTTATTTTCTCGTGCGTGAAAAAAATAAATATCTCGTCTTTCCATTTCGTCGACAAAATCCTGGCCCCTTCCTCTCTACCCTTCTTTTCCTCCTACCCCTTTTATTTGTTCTATAAGATATCGGCTTTCGTGACTCTTTACTATATACACATATATATACACATATATATATATATATATATATATACATATATTTATATTTATATGTATATTTATTTGCTAATTATTTTTTCTCCCTCATTCGTACCAGGCTCGTTCGTGTTACAGCTATTTTTTTTCTTTTTTGATCTGAATGATGTTTTTGTTGTTTTCTATGAGTTCTCTTATTTTTTATTCGCTCTCCATAAAAAGCAAAAAATCATTATCCCTCAGTGAATTAAAAAAAACGTTTTTAACGAAAAGACGTATATATATATATATATATATATATATATATATATAGATCATTAAAAGTTTGTCTCTCGATTAAAAATTTTGAATTTGATCGCTTCGATTCAAACGATAAGAGAAATGAAATAAATTGCCAACCGGAACTCGATAGTTCTTAGTGAACATTTTGGCTTTGATATAATATTTTTTTTATGTATTTTTCTTATTGTAGAATAAGAAAATGTAATATCCTGAAACAACAAAAATCTATCATCTCACTTATTTATTATCACAAATAATCAAAATTATTCTGGTATTTTCTTTTACTTTCTTTTTTTCTTCTATATTCCTTTCTATTGCGAGTTTTGTCTTAGAAAAGTTTCAAATGCTTTTCTTTCCACTCGATATATATATATATATATATATATATATATATATATATATGTGACAGGTAACGTTCGAAATAATTGAGCTTTCTTGTTTTAGTTTTTCTTCTCATTTAAAAATTCTTGACGAATTTTTTTCTTAATACTTCCGACCTTCCCCAAGATCACTTCGATGAAAATTTTTGGTTTTATATCCTATATTTTTTTTTCTCCTTCTTCCTTCTTCTTCTTTTTCTTCCTCTTCTTCTTCTTCAGGGGCTTCTCAGCTCTGTCGATCTGTTACTGTTCTGGTCGATCTTGAAAAAAATACGACGGTCTTCTTCTCTTTATCTCTCTGTCTGTCTTTCTCTTTCTCTCTCTCTCTCTCTCTCTCTCCCTCTCTCTCTCTCTCTTTCTCTCTCTCCTCCCCTCTCCCTTTCTCTCCCTCATCTATCTGTTTCTCTTTCTATTTATCTCACCAAAACCTCTGAGCACTATCCCAGATGTTCTTCAGACTCGATTGGAATTCGAAACGTAAGTTCTGATAGTATCACGCTATGTTGTTGCCGCTCATTGTCGTAACGCACTTTTTTTCCGGTGTGTTTTGACTTTCGGAATTACTTCGAACCGCTTTAGGTGGACTACCTGGTGTCGGTGTTGAGTCGCCAGGTAAAGGATTGTTATTGTTGGTCGACGTCGAACTTCTTCGGCCATTTTCGCGTGTAGGTGACTTCACATCGAACACTGATGTGTCCGATTCCATATCCGAGTCGATCTGATCGTCGACAGATAGCAAGAGTGAGAGTGAGATAAAGATAGAGATAGAGAGAGAGGGAGAAAGAGAGAGAGAAAGAGAGAGAGAGGGGGAGGGAGAGAGAGAGAAAGAGATAGAGAGAGAAGGGGAAAAAAAAGAAAAATTAACAATTAATTATACTTTGTCATAATAATATTTTATCTTATATACGTATATATAAATGATAAAATTATTATTTCGTTCAAACTAAGACTAATCAAAGGGAACTTCTCTATAACGTAGGGGGTGGGGCGGATTGGGTGCTATCTATATAATCTAAAATATTTTCTACGATTTAAGCGATTAGTGAGAGATTTAAAAGAGAATTCACTACGTGATGATCATCGAGCAATTTAAGCGACTAATATGGGAAATGATGATTTTATTTAATTTTTTTTTCCTTTGTACTTTTTTTGTTCTTTTTTAATAATAATAATAATTTTTTGCTTGATCGACGAAGAAACGATAAAAAGATTTTTACGTGAATCAAGAGCACATCGAGACCACTCTTCGGGCTTTAGGTTTCATTTTCGGCTCGCTTTTTATCCGGTACTAAAATCGAAAATCGTTATTACTGAGAAGAGATTACCGAGTCGTGCCTAAAACTGACGCGTAAGAGCTACTTTTTTAAATTCTTTTTTCTTTCTTTTTTTTTTCCATTTACTATCTCTTCCTACGAGAGAATTAATTGCAATTGGATACTATACTGATCTAATTAACGTAGCTATTGTCATTTCATTAACGTAGACTCTCCGAGTTCGTTTAAAGTTCGTTGAGACAAGTAAGAGGACGAAAAAAAAAAAAAAGAAAAGAAAAAAAAAAGAAATAAAAAAAATACTCCGATGGGAAACAATGAGAAAATAAGAAAAAAAAAAGAAAAAAAAAAGAAAAAAAATAGAGAGAGAAAAGACAAATATAAATGGCGAAAGGATGATGATAATGGTGCACTACCTTGTTGAAACAGACTACCTGTCTGGTAGCGGGATGAGGACTGAGGAATAGCCTTTCGCTGGTGTCACTTCCGCAGCTAGAACTTTCACTCATTTCCGTGGCAAACTTTCTAGATGCTCTTGGACTCGGTGGTGCTGCTCTGCTCTGGCCGGTTAAATTCAAACCGACATTTCTAGAACATACTTGCGATTGTATGTGCTCGCAGACCCTCCTAAATCTTCGAATATTTCCTAATGGAAGAGAAACGTAATATATAGAAATTGTTTAAATAATCGTAAATTTTGTATAAAATTGTTAGAAAAGGAGGGAAAAGGGGTGCAGTCGTATTTTTGTTTCTTCTTTTTTTTTTCTTTCTTTTTTCTTTTTTTTTTCATCTCTTTGTTTTTCTTTTGAATCTCGAAGACATCATCGAATCAGTGTTTCCAAACGTTAATAAAGGTATAGAAAGTAAGATGTGAGGTAACGTATACCTTCTTTAGTTCTTTCGTCCGTAAAATATACGTAGATAAGATTTAACGCGGTATGGAGAAGGCGTACGTGCCAAGGTAACATCGATCTAGTTGCGCTTGGATGGCTGCCAAATGCCAAACGCCAAACCACCTCTCTTTCTCTCTCTCTCTCTCTCTCTCTCTCTATCTCTATCACTATTCCTATCTTTATCTTTCCATCTTTCTTTCTCTTTTTCGGTTTACGGTGGCTACAGTCAGACTTTGAAAGGGCTTTGTACCTTCGGTTTTGTCATTTGCTTAGCCGCATCTTTTATTCGGTATAAACTCGTGACAAGGATATATACGAAAGAGAGAGAGAGAGAGAGAGAGAGAGAGAGAGAGAGAGAGAGAGAGAGAGAGAGATTCGAAGAAACGTTTTTGTTCGTTTGCATTTAGAAAAAAGAAAGAAGGAATAAAAAGAGAGAAGAAAATACGTGAGGTGGTCGTAATCGAGTGATGGAGATTAATAATATAAGGAAGGGAAAAAACAAGTAAGATATTTAATATTTACCACTTAATAACGTAAAAGTAATGGCGAATAATGGCTCGTTAGACTGCTTCGTAATACCACTTATGTCAACTTGAAATCGGACCTGCCTTTGAAACATGGCCGGTGCTGTGCTACCCTTTTTATATTCTACTCTGAACGACATCGGTGAAATCACACTGTGCGATAGTTCGGCTATCTGTAAATTGATATATATATATATATATATATATATATATATATATGTATATGTGATAATAATAAAATTTAACAGATGAAAATTTGACGAGATAATATTAAATGTACGATTGAATTATAACATGTATATATAATAATTATATATATATATATATATATATATATATATATATATATATTATGCTTACCGACAAAAAAGCGTGAATTAAATCGGCTTTCACGCTGGCCAATTGTTTTCCTTTAACGAGAACTGTAAATGTTTCGTCTTTTTCGGTCGTCATTAAACTACCAAACCATGATCTTTTTGTTAATTCCGGGGAGGATTCCGGTGTTAGATGTACCTTAGAAAAGAAAGATAAAAATTCGAATGCAATTTTGTGTCGATGGAATTCAAAAGGATAGAATCGAATTGGAATCGATAAATGAGAAACGTTCTGCAAATTCGTAAATTTCTTACCTCTTCCGTACTGGTGAGTAATTTACGACGATGGAATCTGGGACTACCCAGGAAGG